AAGGAGTGGCTGGTGGGTTTGAACTGCCAGCCTTCTGGTTAGCAGTCAAGTGCCTTAGCCACTGTGCTACCAGAGTATAGCTACAACTTAAATCAATTTGTCATGTCTTAAGCTATTGGCTTTTATGCTACTTATAAATAGACCGAAACTATGTACTGGGAAAATGCATGTTTTTATGTTATTGTATGTGTAATCAGTTGTGAAGAGTTCACATTCAGTTACCTAACTGAAGACTCTGTTCAGAAGAGGAATAACAGAACATTTCAAGATTTCAAGCTACAATATTTTAATTGGCCATGATACTTCTAAAGGGGGATAGCAACTTTGAACCGAATTTGTTCTATCTGTAGATATAATATTATGGTTGGCACAGTGATAATACTAACTCCTTATTCTTCAGAATTCTGATTATATTCAGAAAACCTAGTGATGACGTTTTTGTTTTAATCATTTTTCTTAAATTCTTAGTTCTGGTAGCATAGTGCCTAAAGCACTTGACTGCTGACCAGAAGGCTGGTGGTTCAAACCCACCAGCCACTCCTCGGAAGGAAGATGGGGCAGTCTACTTCTGTAGTGATACTGCCTTGGAAACCCAAGGAGGGGTCACTATGAGTCGGGTCCGACTTGACAACACATAACAACAACAACAACAACATACCAAGAAAATATTTAAAATACTATATTTATTAAATATAAAGGCAGGGTAAAATTATTAGTTATCTTTTGGTTGCCAGTCATTTTTCACATAATCATATATTATTTGTACCTCTGAATTGGGATTTAAATGCTAAAAATTTATTTGTAAATACAATAATTTCTTTTATTCAGGTATAATTATGTGTTAATGACTGTTTAATAGTGTAACGTCTTTGATGAAGCATAGTTGACACTTAACTCCATTTCTCAACTTTTAATTTTAGTAAAATTAAAATTATAACCATGCATATTCCTGTGACTTCCGCCATTATAATGTAATTAATTTGTTTTCCTAGTTACCAGAATGGTAAGCAACAACCACTTAACAGCAGTTGGATAAGTAAATTATAGATTACGAGCTGCTAAATAATTGTAGCCAATAGTTGTTCATGAAACATGATCCAATTTAGATCTTTCTTCTAGATAAAGAAAATAGATTATGTGGAATGTACATTGAGCAACTTTAAAAGCATATAAAAATTGATCAGTAGTGACTTTCTGTGTCATTTACATACATTAAAAATGTTTCAAAATTTTTAAAAAGTGACTGTATCAAGTATATATTTTCCAAAATGTGTTCTGCTAAGTAATTCTGTTTTGAATGAGGAGTAATTGGGAGATGCTGTGTATATTATGTCTTTTCAGTCAGTCTTCCATTAACCAATCAGTCTTCTAATAAAGGAAGATCTTTCATGTACCTCAGGAGATTGGTGTTCCTCAGAGTACTGTGGAAGACTCTGAACTGAGAAGCTATGAGGTTTTACTATATTTGTCTGTCAATACAGCTATACTCCAGAAATACTCATTATATTTTTTTATTGTGATGAAATATACAAAACCTAAAATTTGCCATTTTTACCATCTTTAAGTGTATATTCCAGTGGCATTAATCACAATCTCTGTTTTGCCACCATTCACACTGTTTACAAAATTTGTTTCATCCCCCTAAACAGATTCTGTGCCCATTAAGCAGTCATTCCCCATTCCCTCCTCACCTCTGCCTCTGGTAATTACAAACTAGTTTTTGTCTCTATGCATTTTTTTGTTGTAGGTATCTCATATAAATGAAATCATACAGTGGTATTTGTCTTTTTGTGTTTGGCTAATTTCCATTATATATTCTGCATTCACCCATGTTGGTGCATCTATGAAAACTTCATTCCTTTTTAGTGAATAATATTCTATTGTATGAATGCACCACATTTAGTCTATCCGTTGATCTATTGATAAACACTTAGGTTGTTTCCACATTTTGGCTGTTGTGAACATTGGCTTACAGGTATCTACTATTTGACTTCTTGCTTTCAGCTCTTTTGAGTATACCCCCAAAAGTGGAATTGCTGGGTCCAGGATTGCCCTGCTATGTGAGAGTAGAGCGTTCCTGTGAAATCTTTCATAAGCCAAAATAGCATAAAGCCAAGAAGCAGTTACTGTTAATTTATATGGGAAAAATTTTTGAGTGTTACCAGATCCAAAAAATTACCTACCAGATCATACCAAATAACACATAAAACCTTAGAGAACACTAGCCTATCGTGTTCACAAACACCATTTACACACTGTGGTCGCTTGGTGCTGAGATGCTGAATGTGGCTTCTGGGAAAGGAGATTGGTTCCACCACTCTTGTTGTTCAGGCTGCACCTCCTCTTTAATGGCTCTCTACAG